GTAAACAAAGGAGTCTAATGGAGGCGTTTCATGCAGAAGGGGGAAGTCTTCTGGAGGGAACTTGGAACATTAGCCTTTGCAGACCATTTACATGCACAGAATAGACTGTAAAAAATAAAGGAACACCACAAAAAAGCATAATATGTCATCTTTAAAGAAAAACAAAAGACATCAAGGAAAGGAGAGAGGAAGTAAGGTCAAATCTAAATCTGCAAAGTGACCAGAAACTGAGAAAAAGGGCAAAACAGAAGACAAATTGCAAGGAGACACGAAACAAAACACAAAAATTAGTATTTTTAGACAAAATAATTGTGTTTATTCTTGTTACAATTATTACGTTTGTATCAGGGTTGGGAGGTGTTATTAATTATTGAACCCTGAGAGCAGGACAGACTGAAAAGAGTCAAGGGAAGCTTATAAAAGTTAACAGCATTTAATTACACAAAAGATGCGGTGGTGTACAAATGAAATTGCAAGCGGAGACCCTCTCCCCATGTGTTGCTCAGCCCAGGTCAGGAGGAGAAGAGATAGATTCTTGGCTCGCTCCTCCTGTTGTCATCCGAGGTCTTTTCCTATTGGCCAGCGTTGTCGGGGGGCGGGTCCAATGCAACTCCTGCCTTTTTCTGTTGCTAAATTACATCATTCTGGTGTCTGTGGTTATTAAAACATTCCCTGATAAACGTGATTTCAGCGTCAATAAATTAGTGTTAAACCCAGTGTGTTTAGGGTACAACATCCCGTCATTTCACCTTCAATTCACGGTTTGAAAACGTAGCATTTCGTCACATGCTAATGCTAACCGGAAATGACGAAATTCACTAGCGGAAAACCGGAAGTAGTGTGAAAATTCGGTTTTTAGAATAAAACAGATTACGCCATATCAACATTGATGTTAATTTCTAACAGAGGCCAATCTGAGTATCCCAAAATAAAAGTAATGTAACCTGAAACACATGAAAAAGAGCAGCTGAACCATAGGCCGACTCAGTGTAAATGTAAACCAGTATAAAGTGGATTTCCACCTAACAGCAGCCGTCTGAGGCACTTTCCCATTATAAGCTGTTGACTGTAAAATGACCTGAACAGCACAATGCAGTGGGTCGTAAAATGTGCATTAACTTCCTGTCCACACCCCACATAATGCCATACTTCACACGCACGCACGCACGCACGCACGCACACACACACACACACACACACACACACACACACACACACACACACACACACAGACACACACACACACACACACACACACACACACTGCTGAGTATGTGTTATTTGGGAAAGGTGTTTGCTCTGTAACTCGACTCGTTTGGAACAATTACCTGCAGGTTAGAGATGTGAGATAACGTGATAAGGTGACCTACAGTCACATAGCACACAATCAGAATCAGAGTAACGTTTATAGACACAAGGTTTTTCACTTGCAAAACATTTCCTTGATGATACGTGCAGCATATAATAATCACAATAAGCGGAAGTAAAAACAGAAATAAAGTACTGCAAGAGTCAAGAGTATCCGCCAATAAATAAATGATTATTTAATCTACTGTACAGTTTAACATTTTACATTCTGTTGTATCTTAGTCTGCCTTCTATATTTTCCTTATTTATGCAACTTTCTCGCACCATTATGTCTTTTTTTATTGCACTTTCTTACATATATATTCCTTTTTAGGTGAACTATTTTTTAATATGTGTTGCTGCAGGAGCCTGAAACCTCAGATTTGTATTGCCAAAACTACCCTATAGTGATTTTGGATATGAAAAATAACGCTTTTGAATCTTTGAATCAGACAAACTTAACAGAAAATATAACTTCTGTGTATTTCTGATAGAGAAAGCTGAACCATCTTGTGCATAATGTCCAAAAGAATATTGATGAATGTGTGCAACGTGCAGGGCTTAAAGTCCACTGACAGGAGTGAGTGACAGGAGTATAAAATGTCCCTGCTGTTTGCCCTCTGGCCTCAGTGAAATATGGCTTTTGATATTGTTTTTATTAGCCTGGGTTAGGTAAAGGAAAACGACCTCATCAAGAAAATCAGTTTTGGAGTTGACATGCCTGAGAATTTGGTCCTGGGGGAAAACGGGCCCCTGGGAAACCCGGTGACCTCGAGACAGAAAAACACAAACTCTGCTCAGGGCTGGGAACAGGAGGGAGAGAAATATGCATAATGAGAATTTTATTTATCAACCGATACTAATAATCACCTGCTTCTCGAGGGGGATATGATAAAGGTTTATTGTGCAATTTTAGTATTTTAAAAAGAAGTTGATAACCTCTAGTTTTAAATATCCAAATGATGCATTATCTTTTTAAATATGTGCTAACATTGCGTACATTTCCAGAACAGAAATGTGAACCTTGGATAAAGCCAGGTTCAAAATGCACGTTTCATTTTGTTGACATATTAGAGACAAAGGCTTTCACAGGGCCATGTTTTTAGTATTTAAGTGTGTGTGTGTGTGTGTGTGTGTGTGTGTGTGTGTGTGTGTGTGTGTGTGTGTGTGTGTGTGTGTGTGTGTGTGTGTGTGTGTGTGTGTGTGTGTGTGTGTGTGTGTGTGTGTGTGTGTGTGTGTGTGTGTGTGTGTGTGTGTGTGTACAAAATGGAGGTCCCCATGAAGGGGATCATTAACCTGTTAAGCACTGAGCCTGTTTTTCAGGTCTCAGGCTCGAAAATGACATTTCCAGAACAAATAACCATATCTTCTAAAAGGGTTAAATTAATAATCTTTTCTCTCAAAGTAATGATAAACCTGTGAGTTGGATGTATAAAAGTCAGAATCAATATAGATGTTTTGTATTTTAAAGAAAATTCAGATTGAACATAGTAAAAAACTGTAAATTATAGTGTCCGTCCAACAATTATTTTTTACTTATAGTGAACACTAACCTTGGATGATGGTAAGGTAGACTAAAAGCTTTAGGAATCCAAAGTACAACATATAATAAGTACCCTGTATTAAGATTGATGCAAAACAAGTGAACAAGTGAGAACACTACAGGTGAATAGGGTAAACAAATGTCACTATTAAATATCACCATGAAACTTCCCTACTTCATAACTGAGATTATGAAAATCATTTTTTATATTACGAGTTTTCTGAAATTGCATGTTTAAATATGCAAATTATGGGTTATGTGACACTAACTTTGTGGAAGACACAAACAGACAAAGTTTCTAAAATAAACTCTTGAATGTGGATTTTTCTTTCCTCTAGTCTGAGAGAAGACATGTTATGGACGCAAGACACCTCAAAGTGCATGGGAACATGTGTCCCCCCTTAGAGATCGGAAATATTCAATGCATGCATCTAAAGAAAAGCACTTTGGATAAAAAGGAGAGCCTGGAGTGAAATCCAAAGAAGAAACGGACCATCTGAGTGACTCGTGGTGTCACAAGACTCTGCAGGAGACGTGAGGAGTAATAAAAATGTCTGCTTTTGTCAATCATTCACACAGAAAATATGATGAGGTGGTGTGATCGGATGCAAACAGAAGCAGAGCCAACTGAAAAGAAATAGGACAGCCGCATTTCTGCCAAAAACAAAGCTGGTTACATAATCCCCGCTTCTGCATCAGCGGCTCGCAGGTTTCTGCAGATTTTGGTTTGAGATGTGTGTCAGGAGGAGGGGGGATACAGGAGGAGGGGTGATACAGAGGAGGGGGGGGGATACAGAGGGATACAGGAGGAGGGGGGATACAAGAGGAGGGGGGATACAGGAGGAGGGGGGATACAGGAGGAGGAGGGATACAAGAGGAGGGGGGATACAGGAGGAGGGGGGATACAAGAGGAGGGGGGATACAGGAGGAGGGGGGATACAAGAGGAGGGGGGATACAAGAGGGTTCAACGTGAAATACAGCAAGGGGGCGGTGAGAAAGTGAAAGTTTGTTGTGAGTTGTAGAGGCTGGGAACAGCGAGGTGTGGGAGAGACATTTAAAACACATTCTCACCTCCTGCTTCACACACACACACACACACACACACACACACACACACACACACACACACACACACACACACACACACACACACCACACACACTCCATCACACATGGTTTTCACACAGAGGGGAATTTGCAAAGAAACGTTCTCACTCAAACACTTGCTGGTTTTTGTCTGCCGCCGACACACAGCCCGTCTGTTCAGAAAACAAGACCTCCTGTGTGATATATATTTACCCTGCTTCTTTATGCACACACACACACACACACACACACACACACACACACACACACACACACACACACACACACACACACACACACTGTTTTCATCATAACATAAAGGGAATATTACTCGTATTAAAGCTCAAGTATTTAAAATATCTGCTTTGAAATGTCTAAAAGTCACTAGTCCAGTCCATTTAGTTGAGTAGTTTATTAAAGATTGTAATCAGTGCATTTCATAAGACACCGTCCGGTCTGTAATAGCGTCATATCATTTTGGACATGCTACCAGAAGCTGTAATAAATTGACTTTTTATCCACTTTTAAGCCATATTTATACAATTTGTGGGTGCTTTTCAAATCTATAGTTTCACCAGATGAAAGATTTTAGTGATGGGACGTCTGGATCCGAAGTTATCAGAGAAGCAGGCTAAGCTAACGTTAGCCTTTAGCTTGTAGCCCCTCGGTCCAGTTTCTTCCTGGAAAACACAGATTTAGAATAAGAAACTGCTTTATTCAGTGTTTTACGAGTTCAACTCATCGAGTCATTTGTTTTAGAGATAAGGCGACTTCTGTGGTTAATTCAACCCCCAGTAAAATCTTCCTACGCGTCAGTGTCAAATTATCTGAGAAACAAGCTAGGCTAACGTTAGCCGCAGCCCAACAGCGTGCAAGGAGAAAACTCCGATGTTTAACCTCAAACTGCTTTATTCACTGTTTTTATTTCTTCATAGACCCCTAGTGGCAGAACATGACACATTGTGCCTTTAATGTTTACATAACATTGTACTAGTTTAATATTTGTTCTCCATGTTTATGAAGTTTCTTTCAGATCGAGTCGTGAAAGCAGCGAGATCAGTGTACAGCGTTTTGATGGAGAGGGACTCAAATCTGATCCGAGACAGAAAGCATCACCTCAAAACATACAGGTCTTAACTGCTGGTGTCATATGAAATAAAGAATAAAATCACATTCATGTTGATGTTGTTATATTTTGTTACAGACAGTGTTGTTCTGGTAAGGAGCTCGTCGATTGGCTGATGAAACAAAATGAATGTCTGGCGTCCAGGAGTCAGGCGGTGGGGATGTGGCAGGTGCTGCTGGACGAAGGGATCCTCGTTCATGGTGAGACATTAAAGCTCTCCTATCCTATCATGCAAAATGCACTTGTTGATGTCTTTTATACATAACTATGTGTCCCCGGTGCGTCAGGGAACTCACGCAGCGTCAGAAAATAAACCCCTCTCTCTTTTCCTCCGTACCCAAATCTCTAAAAACGGGGAACAACGGAGCTGATCCAGATTTGCGTCCGATATGACGTAATATCTGAAATGTGGACCCACGGCCCAATCAGAAACGTTGCTATCAGAAACAATACCCGACTGTTTTGGACGTAATATGGTCGGTGTTTACATTAGCATCGCTAACACTCAGAGCTAACCTGTACTGGAGAGCATGTGTGTGAAGAAGCAGGAAGTAAAAAGGAACTCACCTTGTGGTATAACCGGCAAGAGAGAAAGCCTTTGAGCTCCATACTGTTTCAGAGATAATCCTTGATGTGGTTTGGAACATGATGGTGTTTCATCACGGCAGCATTTAGCTGAGTAGCTGCCGGTAGAATTCTGATCAGGCATTAGCTCCGCCTCCTCTTTTTTTTTTTCAAGCTAGACCCCGAATCAGCGTTTCTCTAACAGCTGGAACAGAGGGGTATGAGGGATTTCTAAAATGCATGTTCTGTTTGGTATTTTGAGCAAAACACATCATAGACATGTTTTTTATATATTGTTATATATCTGAGACCCATAATATATGCCTGAAAATAGCATGATAGGTGACCTTTAATACTAAGGGTTAAGGGTCAGTCAGGATTCCTGATTAGAAGGAGATAACAAATGATGCAAGATGACTATAAAGCAACTAAAGAAATATGCTAAATGAGATTCTAAAAAATGCACCCACACAAAGACACTTAATGTTAATAAAGAGAGACGCGATATGACCAAAAGTAGACGCAAAATAATCCCCAAAAACACGCAAAACGTCACACAACACCTTGAGAAAAAATAAGAAGAATAGAGGTCCAAAGACAAGATAAAGATATACAAACAACTACAAGCTATAATGTTACTGGGAGGAGATGTTGAACACAGAGAGACTTACGTTTCTACATAGAGAAGCAAAACGACCTTACTTATTTATTATTAGTCAATTTATTGAACATGTCAGAAACAAAAACATACAACAATAATATATATATATTCTCTTTTTTTCCTTTTTTTTTCTCACTCAAATTAATAATTATAACAAAGTACAAAAAAATAAAATAAATAAATAAATAAATTATAATAATTCTCAGATAGTCTGTCATGTTCAACAGGGGCAACAAGAATCTTAAAAACTTTTTCTGGTTACTAATTAATTACTTTTACAATTACAAGAAATAACAAAACTTTTACTACAAAGAGTTGTAAAAAATGACTAAAAATAACTGCATCTGCAAAGAGGTGCAAAAGAGGTCACTCATGTCTCATTATCTGCTCCGTAGAAGTGTGGAATATATTCAGGTATTAATCTCTCAGGCTGCACTTGAGAAATCTTGAAATCTGCAGACTCCTCGCTGACCGCTCTACGAGACTCTGTTTCCTGCAGGAGAGCGCTTCAATCAGGACGTAGAAACTCCATCATGACTTGGAGCGGTCGCTCTGAATAAATGCATATGAGGAACCATTTATTTTCAAATCAACATGTCATCGTCAAACTAATTATCCTCAAGGTCAAAATGTGTTTCCTTTTTCGGAACTAATCTGTGTCTCATATTTCTGTAACCACTGTTCCTCCGAAGGTCTGATTGAGTGATGACAGAGATGATGTCCACAAACTGAATATTAAGCAAGAGACTTTGAGGATATGCAAATGAACACAAAGGGAATGAAAGTAAATGTAGATGTAAAATGACCAAAAACACTCAAAACCATCTATGAACACAACAAAAATAACACAAAACAATAAAATGACCTCAAAACAACAACAACAAAGACAGAGAAAGGACCTAACTCATATTTCTGTTCCTCCAAAGGTCTGATTGAGTGAACTGAACACAGACTGAATATACAGTAACTTAAAGTAACACAAAACATTCAAATGACCTCAAAACAACAACAAAACCTGACCTACAACGACCATGTGATGATTTGTGTGTCCCCTGCTCTGCCTCCAGTGAAACACGAGTTGAACTTCCTGGATAAAGACACGCAGTTCTACCGTTTCCAGGAGTGTGAGTTCAGTCTGCATCACGTCTCCGATGAGAGGGAGGAGGAGCTGCAGGAGGCCGTGTCTCTGCTCGCTCAGCTCGGCCCCGACGCTCTGCTCACCATGATCCTCCGCAAAGGGTCAGACACTTCAGATCTACGTCGATATAATGCACGATAACTGATCTATATGAGATAAGATAAGAAGTACTTTATGATCCCAAGTTGGGACATTTTTGTGTTGCAAAATCCACTTCTCCATGTCTCTTCTACATCAACATGTGTCCCCTCTTCTTCATGTCTCTTCTTCATCAACATGTGTCCCCTCTTCTTCATGTCTCTTCTACATCAACATGTGTCCCCTCTTCTTCATGTCTCTTCTACATCAACATGTGTCCCCTCTTCTTCATGTCTCTTCTCCATCAACATGTGTCCCCTCTTCTTCATGTCTCTTCTACATCAACATGTGTCCCCTCTTCTTCATGTCTCTTCTACATCAACATGTGTCCCCTCTTCTTCATGTCTCTTCTACATCAACATGTGTCCCCTCTTCTTCATGTCTCTTCTACATCAACATGTGTCCCCTCTTCTTCATGTCTCTTCTACATCAACATGTGTCCCCTCTTCTTCATGTCTCTTCTCCATCAACATGTGTCCCCTCTTCTTCATGTCTCTTCTACATCAACATGTGTCCCCTCTTCTCCATGTCTCTTCTACATCAACATGTGTCCCCTCTTCTCCATGTCTCTTCTACATCAACATGTGTCCCCTCTTCTCCATGTCTCTTCTACATCAACATGTGTCCCCTCTTCTTCATGTCTC